AGCCTATGGTAGAAATAAGTGGAAGAGAAAGCACCATCTGGATTCCTATTACAGCCCATGTGTATTAAAAAAAAAAGTTGTTGTCAGGTTAATTCTGACTCATAGTGACCCCAGGTGTTAAACAGAGTAGAATTGCTTTGTAGGGTTTTCTTTCTTTCTTTTTTTTTTAATTTTATTGTTGTACTTTAAGTAAAAGTTTACAATTCAAGTTAGTCTCTCATATAAAAATTTATACATACATTGTTATGTGACCCTAATTGCTCTCCATAGGGTTTTCTTGAATGTAATCTTTTTATGTAAGCAGATCGCCAGGCCTTTCTTCCACAGCACTGCTGGGTGGGTGCAAACTGCCAACCTTTCAGTTAGTATTTGAGCCCAAACAGTTTGTGCCACTGGGGACCTATTATAGCCCATGTATAGGAGGCCATATAAGCTACCTGCAAATTTTGGATTGAAATCTTCCCCCACTGGACATAAAACAGCAAAAACTCAATGCATAATTATGGTCCTAACTATTTGAATACGAAGCCACTCAGAGTTGTAGACTTGATAAAAAGTGGGGTATTTCCCAAGATCAGATTATATTCTCAGAACTATGTAGCTGAGGAAAGCTGTAAACAAATTGGTGGAGCCGGCCATATTGTGCGGTCAAGAACACAGGATCTGTCATCAGATGGACTGAGTCAAATCTGGACTCTGCTGCCAACTAGCTCTGTGAAGTTTGGGCAAGATACTTCTGGGCTTCATTTTGCTCGTCTATAAAAAGGAAATCACCAAACCAGACAAAGACACCACAAGAAAAGAAAACTACAAGCCAATACCGCTTATGAATACAGATGCAGAAATCCTCAACAAAATACTATAGAACTGAATCCAACAATATATTAACAAAGTCATACACCATGACCACGTGTGATTTATTCCAGGAATGCAGGGATGATTCAACATTAGAAAATCAATCAACACAATACACCACATCAATAGAACAAAGGAAAAGAACCACATGATCATCTCTATGGATGCAGAGAAAGCATTTGATGAAATCCAACACCCCTTCTTGATGAAAACTCTGAAGAAGATTGGAATAGAAGGGAAATTCCTCAATATGATTCAGGGCATATATGAAAAGCCAACAGCCAACATTATACTTAACGGAGAAAGCTTAGAGCTTCCACCTTGAAATTGGGAATAAGACAAGAGTGTCTGCTCTCACCACTTCTATTCAATATTGTATTAGAAGTGCTAGCCCGAGGAATAAGAAAAAGAAATACAAAAGTATCCAGATTGGAAAAGAAGTAAAATTGTCTCTATTTGCAGATGATATGATGCTATATATAGAAAATTCCGAAGAATCCACAAGAAAACTTCCAGAGCTAATAGAGGAATTTAGCAAAGTTGTAGAGTGCAAGGTCAACAAACAAATATCAGTTGGGTTTCTATACACCAGCAATGAGAAACCTGAAAAAGAAATTAGGAACCATTTCCATTTACAATCGCATCTAAGAGAGTAAATACCTGTTGCCATTGAGTAGATTCTGACTCATAGAATTAAATCTAACCTGAGGCGTAAAGGATTTATACAATGAAAATTATAAAATACTTCTGCAAGAGATTAAAGAAGACCTGAATAAATGGAAAGACGTTTCATGTTCATGGATTGGAAGACTTAATATTGTTAAGATGTCAATACTACCCAAAGCGATGTATAGATTCAACACAATCCCAATCAAAATTCCTAGAGCCTTCTTTACAGACATAGGAAAACTAATCCTCAACTTTATGGAACAGCAAGAGGCCCCAAATAGCTAAACCAGTGTTGAAAGAAAAGAACAAAGTAGGAGGATTCACACTTCCTGATTTTAAAACATACTATACAGCTACAGTAATCAAAACATCCTGGAACTGGTATAACAATAGACAGATAGACCAATGGTATAGAATTGAGAGTCCAGAATTAAACGCACACATCTATGGTCAACAGATTTTTGACATGGGTGCTAAGTCCATTCGATGGGGAGAAAGAGTCTCTTCAGTAAATGGTGCTGGGAAAATTGGATTTCCACATGTAGAAAAATGAAAACAGGATACATGCTTCACACCATACACAAAAACAAACTCAAAATGGATGAAGGACAAGCAGGGACAATGCTGTCAAGCTTAGCTTTTAACAATGGATTATTTAATATAATAACAAAAGCACCAACAGCAAAAGACAAAATAAATGGGACCTCATAAAAATTAAAAACTTTTGTTCATCAAAAGACTTTACAAAAAAAGTGAAAAGACAAGCTACCAACTGGGAGAATGTCTTCCAAAACCATATATCCAACAAGAGTCCAATAACCAAAATATATATAAAACTTCAACAACTTAATAACAAAAGACAAATAGCCCAATCATAAAATGGGCAAAGGACTTGAATAGACATTTCACCCAAGAGGACATTCAAATGGCCACCAAACACATGAAAAGATGCTCAGCATCATTAGTCATCAGAGAGATGCAAATCAAAACCACAATGAGATACCATTTCACTCCCACTAGGATGGCTAAGATTAAAAAAAAAAAAAACAGAACATAACAAATGTTGGTGAGGATGTGGGGAAATTGGAACACTTATCCATTGCTGGTGGGAATGCAAAATGGTACAGCCATTGTGGAAAACAGTGTGGCAGTTCCTCAAAAACCTAAAAATAGAACTACCATATGACCTAGTAATTCCACTCCTAGGTATATACCCAAAAGACTTGAAAGCAGAGACTCAAACAGAGACATGTACACCTATGTTCATTGCAACACTATTCACAATACCCAAAAGGTGTAAACAATTTAAATGCCCATCAGTAGATGAATAAATGGATAAACAAAATGTGGTACAAAATGTGGTACTCAGCTAACAGGAGAAATGAAGTCTTCATGCATGCTATAGTACGGATGGAGCTTAAAGACATCATGCTGAGCGAAATAGTCCAATCACAAAATGACAAATATTGTATGACCTTACGTATATAAACAGACAAGAAAAGGCAAATATATAGAGACCAAAGTTTATCAGTGGCTACCAGGGGTGGGAGGGAGGGGAAAATGGGGGGTTAATGGTGATGGAAAACTCACAATGATTACGTGTAGGATTGTACAGCCGATGATTGTAATTGCTGACAATAAGTTGAACACCTGTAAAAAGTTGCATTGGCAAAAGTTGTGTGATATATTTACCACAATGATCCCCCCTCCTCCAAAAAAAAAAGAGTAGCTGCTGAGGCTGTTTATGTACAAACACCTCATGGGATTTCATTCCTTGGTTTGGAGGTTTAGGGTCATGGTTTCATGGGACATCCCAGTTATTGGCCTAATAACATGTTTAGTGGTTCTTTTCTACCTCCTAGTTCTGTTGCATAATGCCTGGGGTCTTAAAAGCTTGCAAGCAGCCATCCAAGCCTCAACAATTGGTTTCTATTCACCTAAAGCAACAGAGGAAGAAAGAGAGTCAGGAATAAGAGGAGGAAATGAAATGTGTGGCTAATTGCCTCCATGAACAACTGCCTCCTTTGCCATGAGACCAGAAGAACTGGATGGTGCCTGGCTACCATCACTGAACATTTTGATCAAAGATTCCATAGAAGAATCCTCATCAAAAGGGGGAAAATGCAGAACAGAATTTCAAATTCTCATGGACTCCAGACTTTCTAGAGCCATGGCGGCTGGATGAACCCCTAAAACTATTGCCCTGAGCTAATCTTTAAAGCTTAAACCAAAAATATCCCCTGAAGTCTTCTTAAAATGAAACAATAGTTTAGCTTACCTAGTAAACAATGTCTGCTTTAAGCATTATGCTCTTTTAAGAACTATATACCTGGGATAAAATTGACAACAGCAACTTGAAAGATTAGATAGGAATCTTAGAGGGCAGTGAGTGTATGTGAACGGGGGAGGAACAACTCGGAAAAGGAAGGTGAGAACGGCTGCACAACTTGAAGAATGTAATCAATGTCACTAAATGGTACATGTAGAAACTGTTGAATTGGTGTATGTTTTGCTATGTATATTCTCAACAACCGCAAAATAAATAAAATTTAGAAAGAAAAAAGAAAGCAATCACCTCCATCTTAAGATTGTTTGGATTCAATGAAAACATTATGAATGTGGTAGTATAGAGATTGATGCGTAGCACATACTCAATAACTGTTATGGTCTTGCTGTTAGTAACCACATGCTGTATTTTGGCTGTTCAGAGTTAAAGCCTTATGCAGGCCAAGAGCTGAAGAGGAAAACAAAGAAGGGACCCTGTGTGTTATCTTGCAGTGTGAAGGGAAGAGTGTGCCTTGATTCCAGAACACTGTATTCTCTAGGTGGAAAATTCCCCGTGGTCAACAGAGACTATTGTCCTGCTACCCTGTCTTAATGGAAATATCCCGTTTAAGAACTTTTAACTCCTTCTGTATGGAGCCCTGGTGGTGCAATGGTTAAATGCTCAACTGCTAACCAAAAAGTCGGCTGTTTGAACCCACCAGCTGCTCCACAGGAGAAAAGACCTGGTGATCTGCCCCTGTTTAAAGATTACAGCCTAAGAAACCCAATGGGGCAGTTCTACTCTATCCTATAGGGTCTGCTATGAGTCAGAATCGACTCAATACACAATAACAACATCTTCTGTATACTCAGTAAGCACATGTTTATCTATATAGTTTGGATGCCTGAAGGAATTCATCTGCTGGGAAAGGGCAGGGAGAGTGAACGAACTATGCAGGGTGCTCTGCTAGAGATACCTCCTGTCTGTGGGACCTGGCAGGAAAGTCTGAGACTACTGAGCCTGGAGAAATTCTTAGTCATTAATCAACTGAGTGACCTGCTAAGTTCAACCCTATCCCATGGTGTCTATGGGACAACCCCACCCCACCAAAGAATGCCCAAGCAGTCAGCCAGCCTCTCTTACTTTGATATCGCTGGGTTTATGCAAAGGTGTAGTAACGTGCTCTCTTGCTTTTTTCTGTCTCCCTCAGCAAACTCCGGAACCAGGCACAGAGTGAGCGATACGGATATAAGGAGGTAAAGTGCCAAAGCTTTCCCTTTTCCCAGCTTTCTGTCTCTACTACTTGCCTTGATAGGGAGAGGGGAGGAGAGCAAGTTAAACTGCTCTGGCCTGGGATTCCCCTTGGCCCCCTCTCTGGCCCTCCCTTAGGCAAACTCCTCCATTTCCTATCTTTGAGTCTGGCTTGCCCCAGGCAGTGCCCCAAACCCTCCCCTTCACAGAGAGGGAGGAGGCTTCCCTTGGAGGGGCCGGGGGCTCCTTCATGAGCTGGTTCTACCCTAGCCTTTTTGAGACCTCTAGCTCCTGTGGCTGGTTTCTCCGGACATCATGCCTCCTCTTTTCTCCCTTGGCTTCCCAGGTGGTGCTTAAAGGTGATGTCAAGAAGTTACAATTATACGGGGTGAGTGTCCTAGGGCAGCATGCGGGAGGTCCCCAGCAGGTAATGCAAATGGCACCTTTCTCCAGCTCTTGGTCTGAGTGCTTTCAGGAAACTTTTCAGCCCCTGCCTTCATATCTCCTTTAGCTAAATAAAAGGGACTCATCCCAGCAGGTAATCAATATATGGAATTCATTATCTCTGCAACTGGCACAGGCAGAAAACAAAGGGACCCTAAATGGGCTTGCAGAAGTATGGACAGGCGGCCACAGTGGTCCCGCTGTGCATAATCCTTAAGCGGGGGAATGATTACACCACTCCATGGAAGACACAGGTTTCAGACCCCATGTCCTGATTTTTCACTAAAGAAAATAAAGGCCTTATACCCTGTCCAAACAGATTGTGACTCTGACTAGTGGAGGCATTCCTACGTTTTTCCCTACTTCCCTGTCATCCCCTTACACAGTCCTCATTCCTTAGGTCCCCTCAACTCTGACTCTTTAAGGAACAAGCCATTTCCTATTCCGTTCCCATCCATGCCTCTGAGGTCACTTAACTCATTCCCCAGGGCATCCTTCCATAACCACAGACACACCTATGCTAACACAGACTGTGCTTGTGGTTGTCTGGGAGACGGGAGGATCACAGGTATCACTAATCCTGAGACTGCCTAGACATGGCCTCATTCCACTCCTCTTTTGATGTTTGCTATTACATCTCAAAAGTTTAGATGTTTCAAGTAAATCTTCTTCTAGAACAGTGGTTAAGGTAAAATTAGGGGATTAACATATAGGGAAGTAAGCTGGATTTAAAGAATGTAACTGACCACATACACCATCCCTCCCCCATCCTTACCCCCAGTTATTGCTAAGTGCCCCCTGACCAAATGTACTAGGCTGCCAGGGATTAAAAACCATTCTTTTGGAGCAGCACTGTCCAATGGAACTTTCTGTGATGATGGAAATGTAAGTCTTCTCTGGCTGAGAGAAGAGACTGGGCTACATACAACTTAATTTTCTCAAACAGGGATGAGATCATAGATATTCAGGATGGGTGAGTAAGGTTCTCCCTCTGATCTCCTCTTACAGTTCCTCCTTTCTCTCCACAGCAGACCTGTGCAGTCTGTCTGGAAGACTTCAAGGGGAAGGACGAGCTAGGTATGCTCCCATGCCAACATGCCTTTCACCGCAAGTAAGTATCCACTGGAGATGTGTGTTGAGGGTGCCTTTTGAAAGAGAAATAAGCAAAGAGCATCTCCTAGTACCTCCCAGTTCCTACCAGCTCCCATCTACCCCTTTGCCAGTGATGCCCTAAATCCTGTCTAGTCTGGGCTCACCAAGCAAGCAGAGGGTTTAGATTGAGGAAGGGATAGAGAAGCAGCTGGGCCCTAAGGACGAGAGACAGGTAGAGCATAGCGAGGTGTATCATCTTAGAGAATAATGAGTCTTTTTTGCCCACAGGTGTCTGGTGAAGTGGCTAGAAGTACGCTGTGTCTGCCCTATGTGTAACAAGCCCATTGCTGGTCCCTCAGAGGCCACTCAGAGCATTGGGATCCTATTGGATGAGCTAGTGTGACTGCTGCCTCTACACCAAGACCTGGAGAAGACCTCTTGCCTTGTGGATGCCTGGTCCCTTTGCACAGCTACAGTGAACAAGACAGTTGGATGGTGATGATCATGCTCACCTTGAAGGGGAGGATGGTGTAGGGCTGGTCTTTGCCATAGGGTGACAGCAGTCCCAGACTTGCCCCACCTTTCTGCCTCCTGAAGCCACCTTCCCTGCTACTCAGTACCAATGGTATCACCTATCAAGACCACTGCATCATGGTACTGGACTATCTACCTGCCTTGTCCTTGCTCTAGGGAAAGAAATATGCCCCTCTCTGGCCAAGAACTTGGAGCACTCCCTTTCTAGGTTCTCCTTAGGAGGACAAGCCAGCCTTTTCTAGAAAAAGGGATGACATGGGCTCTACCCCACCTGCAACTTCCCCTCCTCTTCTCACTCTTTCCAAAGGAAGGTTGGGAGGGAAGGAAGGAAAGATCAAGGAACCATATGCCTCCAGTGGAGGCGAGGGAGGCTCTGTGTAAAGTAGGGAAGAGCAGGGACATATGAAGGGAAAAAGTCAATGTTTACATGAGACCTGTTGAAGCAAAGGCTGGCCAGCTAACTGCAGGGTAATAGGGGGCAAACCCCGCCCCCCGGCTAGCATCTGAGGTGCTACCCTATCTCTCTCTTCTCGGTTACTCTCAGAGCTTCCGATTACACGCTGGGGTTTGAGTGCCCCTCTGAAGCAGGGGCTTGTTTTACACTCAGATCAATTCCCAGGGTTTTTTCCCTAAAGAAGCAGAAGGGGCCTGGGGATGAGGGTGTCTGACAGCTAAGGTAAGAACAGCAACCTCCTTCCCCTTTGTAAATAGTATTTTTATATGTCATCCACACCATCTCAGGCTTTATACATGGAATCCCCAGAATAAAAGGGGGGTGGGGGGTTTTCTGTTCCTCTCCAGAGTGGGTGAGGATGGGAAAAGGGGTATGTATTTAAAGAAAATTAAATTTAATAACAAGTTTCTCTAACCTCCTTTTGCCTGTGGTTGTGGCCTGCGCCTGTTGGGTCTTTTCTGCCAGTAGCGGGGAAAGTTCTCTATCTGCCGCTTCTCACTGCCCTACATCCAAAACAAACATACATACACAGAAATGCTCCTGGTCCTTCCAAAGAAAAAACTGATATCCGACCAGTGCCTGTACATCATAGGTTAGGACTGACACCAAGGTATATCAGGCCTGACTAAGCCAGGCTCATTTTTTTTTAAAGAAAGTTGATGTCTCAACCACATTTGGTTTGACTAAGACATGAAATTAATAGACTAGCACTTGTAATTCAAGCAATTGTTAGTACCCTTAACACCACTAAAAAGGTCCAGGCTGTCACCACGGGAGCTTGGTCTCTTCCCTTACTCCACTTTTTTCTTACCTACTAGCTGACTGGAGCCCTGGTGGCACAATGGTTAAGTGCTCGGCTGCTAACTGAAAGAGCAGCAGTTCGAACCCACCAGCGGCTCTGCAGGAGAAAAGACCTGGTGATCTGCTCTTGAAGATTACAGCCTAGGAAACCCTGTGGGGCAGTTCTACCCTGTCCTACAGGGTGGCTATGAGTCAGAATCGACTTGACGGCACACAACATTGGACAACCACCGACGCCGCAAACCTGGCTTCCTATGCCATGTCTAGAAGAGCAGACGCTGCATTGTTAATGCCCCCGGCTGCATTCGGATCTTGCACCTGTGCCCTCCAGCTTTGCTCTGTCAATGTCACAATGGGGTGCAGAATGAATATTGGCTATGCAAAATGGATGGAAGGTGTTGGGAACAATTGCCTTGGGCCATTTCATGAGCATGGAGCAACTGGGTGGTGGTTGTCCACTGCTTGGTGACACAGCAGTACCAGCAGCAATCCAGGGAGCAAGCTCTGGGTGCTGTGCACAGGAGAAGCCTTTGCTGAGTAACTGGGTCACAGATAGGTGGGAGAGGTGCCTATGCACCCAGAGAAGCAGGTCCTGGGAGTGTGATGCCTTCCCATACCCACAGTAGTGTCATGGAGGCTAATGGCACAGTTGGAGCTCATGCTGGACAGCCCCTGAGTGCAGCTGGGGCATCTGACAGCTCCAGTGAAGTCATCAACACCTGTCTCGCTGGAATGCCTTTTCCAACTCATCCTGTTCTTGCTGCCTCCTTCCCCCTCACGCTGCCTTGGCTGCTGGCTTCTGAGTAGCTCCTGCTCCTCAAAGACCCCACCCCTGGGTGCTGCCAACCCTACGGGGCCTGCTTTCTTTTTCACTGCAGATGCTGCTGCTTCCTCCAGCACTGCCAGCTTGCTTTAGTGGGGAGTAAAATGCATTCCCTGAAAAATAAAGAACCTAACCTCTATCTGTGCTGTGGCCTCATGGGGATGCATTGCTGGGACGAGGTGGGGTAAACACATCATCTGCGAGGCTGGCTTCAGCACCAGATGCCTCACCACCTCCCCTGCCTCTTAAGGAAAATTCATCAGTGTTGACATAATTCTGATTAAAATATTGGCCCTAAAATGTCTGTGGTCACACATTTGAGTATCAATGTCCTGAGGTCTGAATGACAGGGTTGAAATGCCTTGTGTTCTTTTCAGGGCTTCAGTGTAGCTAGGTTAAACTGCCAGGGAGTACAGAGAAGGGAACACTTGGTATTTTTAGCTTGTCAGAGATGGATCTGCCGCCGCTGAGCGCAAGTTAAACAATCATTCATCCCAAGTTCAGTTAACAGTGTGGTCCTCCTACTCAGTTTAACGTTTTTAGGGTGCCTCTCTGTGTGCCAGGCACTAGAAGATGACAGTTCTTGCTTTGGGAAACCAAGTATTTTGAGTGAGCAAGCTTCTGCAACAGAGGAGGACTCAGCTCAACTGCTGTGGAAGTGAGAGCAAGGGGGCCAGAGGGAAGATAATAGCTGAGCTGAGTGCTGAGAGAGAGTAATATGGGATAGGCAAAGGCACTGAAGTATTAAACAGCTTGTTGGGTACCGGAGAGTTCAAACAACTTAGTATGAAGTTGATGTGGGGACAAGCTGGAGGGGTGGGGAGGTAATGAGATTAGTCCTGCATGGCGCCAGGAACCTAGGATTTGATATAGTAAGAATCCTGAAATTTCTTTACCAGTACCAGTTGCCATCTGGTGGATTCTGACCCATGGCAGCCCCATGTGTGTCAGAGTAGAACTGTGATCCATAGGGTTTCCAGTGGTTGATATTTAGGAAGTAGACTGTCGGGCCTCTCTGCTGAGGCACCTCTGGGTGGACTCAAACCACCAACCTTTTGGTTAGCAGCTGAGTGCAATAACTGCACAACCTGGAGACTCCTGAAATTTCTTTAGATAGGGCTTTTTAAGAAAAAAAAATCTGGGGAACTATTAGAAAGCTAAGCCGACTATTTTCTCCTCTGTACACAAAATATGGGCAACTACAGCGTGTTTAGCACTGTTCTCGTTACTGAAGGAAAAAATGTGTACCCAACTGAAGGAAGCTAGTGACAGTCATTCATTGGCAGGCTCCCAGCTTCTGTGATGAAATTACCTGTTGGCCAACAAACACCCATTCGGTCAATCAAAAGATACCCACCACTATGTTCTTTCACAAAACACATTTCGCTTTCCCTTCTCTGTAGACCCCTCTGAGTTATGGATTAGGAAAACAATGTTGAGAAATGCTAAATGGCTTACCAGTAATTACACAGATAATAAGCATTAGAGACAAGGCACAAATCCAGATTGTGGGGGTCTTAACTTCAGGGCCGAGGAGCCCTGGTGCTGCAGTGGTTAAGCACTTAGCTGCTAATCAAAAGGCTGGCGGTTCAAACCCACCAGCCACTCCATGGGAGAAAGATGTGGCAGTCTGCTTCCATAAAGATTCACAGCCTTAGAAACCCTATGCGGCAGTTCTACTCTGTCCTACAGGGTCACCATGAGTTGGAATCGACTTGATGGCAATGGGTTTGGTTTGAGTTTGGTTAAATTCAGGTCTGGCTTCTTGGCCCCACATAGCTTCAAAAGCAGATTGAGCTCCATAATGATAAGCAAGAAAGTAGCAGGTGCTACCAGCTCCTGGTTAATGGAATCATGGAATGCAAAAGCCCCAGGTAATTGTCCAGTGATTTGTGTGCTTGTCATTATATATGACCAAGAATTTTTTCTTTTAACGCCACAGTGGATTATTTTTTAAAGAAATGTTATGTGGAATCCCATATATGAAATTATGCAATGGATAATTGAAGAGGGGATAAGATTCAGAACTCCTACTGGGCAGAATTTGAAAATCACTGAATTCGATATTTTGGAACAATGGGTACCTTGAGGAATTGGGCTCTTCTGTTGGCCCTTCTCTCCCATCAACAATTCCATCCCCACTCACAGCTCACCCCTCCCCCAGGGCCTTCTCGTTCTCACTAGGCTCTTATACTCCCCATGTTGCCATGTTTTCCCCTATGCTAAGTAAGACCTTACCTCTGCCTTTCATTCTGCCGCTCTCCTTTGTCTCTCTGGGTGACATCTGAGTAACATCTTGGGTGCCCCTGACCATGTCACTCACTCACAGGTGAATCTTTTGTTGAAGTCATATTCACAGAGTCAGAAGGTCTGTCCCATGTGATGAAATGGAAGACAAGAAGGACAAAATGACAGCCAGTAATGTGGGACTGGTACAACATTGCCACTCATGGAAAGAAATCGAGCCATTTACTACGCCCCAGAAAATCAACAGCATTGGTTTCCTACTGATTGATCCTATTAAAAAAAACACAACCTACCCATTTAATTCCTTCACTCATAAAGTGGCTGACTGTGGACAGCTATGACCAATGCCATGCATTTGGCATGGTCCTGATTCTGTCCCTCTGTGACAGCCTCAACAGCAAACCAGGGCACGTGCTCTAGAGATGAAGGGGAAACTTCAGTACAGCACCAGAAAACCCTTCGGCATTGAGTGGGTTCCCACTCATAGCAACTCTATAGGAGAGGGTACAATTGCCTAATGGGGTTTCCAAGGCTGGAATCTTTACAGGAGGAGGGAGCCCTGGTGGCAACATGGTTAAGCAATCACTTGATAACCAAAAGGTTGGTGGTTCAAACCCACCAGCCGCTTTGTGGAAAAAAAGACTTGGTGATCTGCCCCTGTCAAAAGTACAGCCTTGGAAACCCTATGGGGCGGTTCTACTCTGTCCTATAGTGTCCCGAGGAGTCGGTATCAACAACAATGGGTTTGGTTTGGTTTAATCTTTACAGAAGCAGACTGCCACGTTTTTCTCCCGTGGAGGGGCTGGTAGGTTCGAACCACTGACCTCTCGTTTAGCAGCCAAGTGCTTAACCCACACCACCAGGGCTCCCTTTAGCAGCACCAGGAGGCACAAGAAAATGTTTCTGATGGCTCCTGAGCACTTGGCAGCCTTTAGCACCTCTCCGCTGGTGTTACACATCAGCATATATTTTTTTAATCCCTTTTCTGCTCTCCCTTTCCTTCCCTCCATTTCGTTTCTTTACCCTATTATTCTTCATCCCAGCCTATTCTCTAAGACTGTTGACAGCACCAAAACCGTTGCAGAACCCTCCTTATTGGCCTTGACTGTCATGAATGGTTCAAAAGACACACAAATTACTAAGGGTTTACACCCAAATGAGGGTATAAGCTCCCACAGGAGCCAGCTCTGAGTTTCTAAATGTTTAATATTAGATATGTCCAGTAAGTCTCAAGAACCCATTGCCATTGAGTCAATTCCCACTCGTAGCAACCCTACAGGACAGAGGAGAACTGCCCCATAGGGTTTCCAAGGAGCGGCTGGTGGAGCGGAACTGCTGACATTTGGTTAGCAGCCAAGCTCTTAACCACTGCACCAAGACGGTTGATATTCTCAAAAAGATGAACTCATTAAAGAAATGATGCAATGTGGCGAAGGTCAATAAACCCAAACCCAAATAAAGGAAGAAGTGGTTTGCTTACATGTGAGAGAAACTGATGTGGAAAATACAGTGGACGCCAAGTTGGGCAGAAGCCATAATGAATCAAAACCAATCGATATTGCAATAGCTGACTGTAATGAGCCAGGAATTTGCCTTCTGTGTCTTACTCAGTTTCCACCAAATCTCCATCGGATTATTTTATGCAGATTTTAACGTCTGCAGAAAAACATAAACGGTAAAAAATCATATAAGGAAGAAATCGGAGTATTTTAATCTGGAGGGAAAAAAAGATCAAAAAGCAAGCAACTTAGTGGTCATGGGTCTTCAATATTAGGTTGTAAGCATGAATCTCAGTCACATACCCAGACATTCTAGAAATATATTGTCTTTTTCCCTTTAAAATGCCTTTGACCCTGAGCCATCAACCTTTTCAGGTAATAGAAAATCTATACCCTGTCTGGAATACTTTCTGTCCCCATGGATATTCACGGGTCTCAGACTGCTACACAGATCAAACCCCTTTGATTCTCTGATATCAGAAAGTAGAGCGTTCCTATGAAACCTTTCGTAAGCTGAAACGGCATAAAGCGAAGAAGCAATTATCATTAATTCATATGGGAAACATTTTTGAGAGTTCTTAGGCCCCCAAAATAACCTACCAAATCATACCAAGTTCAACTCACACACAATGTCTTTTTTTCGTTCACCACGATAGAAACGCTTAATTACTTACAATATTCCGCTAAGCGTAACACCCTTATAAGCTCTCTTAGGCTTTTCTGACATCTTACGACACATCTTGCTAATGAATGCACAAAGTAAATGGAGCCCAGGGACGGATGCTCACAGACACAGTTCCAGGCTATGCAGCTTGATGCTGAGATGCTGAGTATAGTTCCCCCAGGGAAGGAACTTGGCGATG